CTGTTCTCAAGGAGCCCACATTTGAGGGCCTCATACATCCCGACCTCCCGCTGTAGTACGAAGCAGGAAGCAGGTGTGTGTTCTGCAGAGGCCCTCAGCGCTTTTACCAGCCTTGGAGGCGGTGTCCTGGCGCACAGTAGGACTCATCCGCATATGCTGGGACAAAGAGGACGAGTGTCTAGACTGCTGTATTCCCAGGACTTTCCCCATGAGCCAGTCTAGCTTTGGTGGTGGTTTATGTATTGTTTTCGGGGCCTTCATCCAAATGCCTCCCCCGTAAATGAGCTGATGTGGGGGTGTGGAGGCAGCAGTGGCCAAGACCAGGCCCTCTCTCAGGGAGCAGGCGACAGCCCCCACTTCTGTGGTAGGCTTCGACGTGGCAGGCTTTGCCTCGGAAGCCCCTCTGTGAGCCCTAGAGCCTGCCAGGTTGGAAACTGCACCCTCTGCTGAGAACAGGTGCTTGTCCCACACCATCTCGCAGACCTCTCACAACCCCCCCTGAGAGAGGTGATGCCAACATGGCCCCGTTCTTCCCAGGGGGAAACGGAGCCTCAGTGGCTCACCCAGGGTCCCTGACTGCGTGAGTGGAAGATCTGGGATTCGAACCCTGGTCCGTCACTCCCAAAGCAGCCGCCCGCCGGACCAGATGGCTGATGCCACTGCTCCTTTATGGGGACGCAGTGGTCACCTGCTCGCTGGGCTGGGGCTGTGTGCGTGGGGAGGGCATGGGGTGGGAGGTGGGGAGGCAGATGTCGGGCAGGAGGGAGATGCGGGAAGAAGGGTCGGGCTGTTGGGGGGCACTCACCCTTACCTACTCCTCCTGGGGGGCGGAGGGGGGGGTGTCTCGGGCTTTAGGCGGGGTGGGGGGGCACGTGCCCTGAGCTCTGCTGGTTCTTGAAGCTGACACCGGAGCCCAGCGCTCGGCTGGGCTGGTTCTAGCCAGAGGCAGCATGTCTCTCCTTCCTTCTTCCTTTTTCTTCTGAGACACAGTGATCTTGGCTGTGGCGCCGCATTCGCTCTATGGGAAAAACTTGTTTTTGTCGGTAAACTCTGGCGCTATGACTCAGAAGACACTAATGAGCTCATGTTTATAAAAGTGCTTTGAAGATGAAAAATTCCACGCGAGGGCTGAGGGTTTGTGCTGCTATTTGGGGGCGAGGGTGAGGAAGGAGGAAGGGGTGGAGGGAAGGGGCAAAAATCTTGTTGAGGAACAGTCCCGAAGCCCCTTGGGCTGTGCAGCCAGGCTGGCTCTGCTTAGCGTTGCTGATGCAGGCGCCTGTCTGGGCAGAAGTACCAGCTGCCCCTTTGTTCAGAACAAGGCGGATCTGAACCGGGCACGCTGCTTTGATTTAGTTTTACCTGTAGCAGGGGGTGCGGGGCGGGGGTGGATGGGACTTAAGTGATCCCCGCTCTCAAGACCAAGATCTTGGAGGCTGGGACGGTGAACCAAGTCCCCGAAGTAGCCCCTTGCCCTGTGCTTGGCACACAGTCAGCAAGCAACTCCTGTTATTCATTCATTCGACAAACACATCCACCTGTGCCAGGCATTGGCCATGGAACAGGGAAGAAGACGGTTTGTGCCCTCTCGGACCTCACGTCCTGGAGCGGGAGATGACATCTAACAGATGAAGTTGTCACTACCCTGCAATCGTGAGTGAAAGGGCAGAGGAGGAGAGACAGTGAAAGTCACGGGCGCGGGAACCAGCCCTGACCCGGTCCACGTCCGGGAGTACCAGCAAGGCTTTCCTGGGAGGAGGCGGCTCTAAGGAAGGAGTGGAGTTCCCAAGCGAAGAGGGACAGACAGCACATCAGGCAGAGACCACAGCATTGACTAATTAATGAATCCAACAAGCCTTTAGTGAATGCCTACTAGGCACCAGGCCCCTGGGATGCAGGGGCAAGCAATACAGGCAGAAATCCCGACCCCCTCCCATGAAGCTCACATTCTGTATAATAAGCAAATGAAGAAATGAATATGACCAGAGAGTATCAGCTAGCAATAAGGAATGGTGGTAAAAATAGGCAGGGTCCCGCGATAGAGGTGTCTGGGGAGACTCCCTCAGATTGTGCAGTGGGCAGGGAGGGCCTTTTTTTTTTTTTTGACAGGAAGTAGGTTTTATTGGTGGGCATGAGTCGGGAGGGGGCAGTGCCGAGGTTCTCATGAGTGCAGAGCCCTCCATTTGTCCAAGGGGTCACGATTAGGGATGTATTTGACCCCACAGCCATCTGGGATAAGCCGCTTTTCAGCCACCATGTCTTCAAATTCATCCGCATTAAACTTAGTAAAGCCCCACTTCTTGGAGATGTGGATCTTCTGGCGGCCAGGGAACTTGAACTTGGCCCTGCGTAGGGCCTCAATCACATACTCCTTGTTCTGCAGCTTGGTATGGATGGACATGATGACTTGGCCAATGTGGACCCTGGTTACTGTGCCCTGGGGCTTTCCAAAGGCACCCCGCATACCTGTCTGCAGCCTAGATTGGAGATAGCATGAGGTCAGACCTCAGTGTCCACTGGAAAGAGCTGTCTCCAAGGTCCCTTAGGGCAACCCATACAATCAACAGGCTGCATACACTACCAAGGAGGCTACTGTTTGCAGCCATGGCACACTGGGCCCCCATGGACAAAGAGCACAGTCGGCTTAATTGGCTGCAGAGCAGGGAGGGCCTTTTGAAGGTGGCACTTCAGTTGAGCCCTCAAAGATGGAAGGAGCCAGCCTCGAGTAGATGGGGGCAGTGCAAAGATCCTGAGGCAGGAATGAGTTCAGCCTGGTCAAAGAATCAAAAGAGGCCAGCATACAGACTGGAGTACAATTAGCTTCAAGGAGACTAATAAGATAGGCGCAAAGCAGGGGTTACTCAGGCAATGCTGTGTATCATCAGCATCATGTTCATTGCAGATAAATTCTACTACAGCAGCCTAAACAGACAAGGGATTTTGACTTAGACAGCAGTTAGCCCGAGGTGAGCCCTAAGGGATGTGTGCAGTGACTTACAGATGCCACCAGGCACCCTGGCTCTTTCCGTCTTCCTTTTCACTAACCTCAGTGTGGAAGTCTCACATTGTTACCTCATAACAATAACATGGCTGCTAAACCTCCTTGCCTTGTGTCTGTGTTCCAGGCAGAAAGAAGGGAAAGAGCAAGAGGCCAAAGAGCAAAGGATGAAAAGGACTTTGCCTGCCAGACTCCATCTCTTTATTCAAAAAGGGGATCACTCCCTACGGGCTTCTGTTCTATCTCATTGGCTGGAACCAGGATACATGGCTACCTTGAACTTCAAGAGAGGCTGAGAAAATGGAGTTTTTAAATTTTGCTTGTCTCTATAGTGGAGGGAAGAAAGGGAGAAGGCATTAAAATGCCTTTTGGGTTGCCAATCTTTAGCTTTGGCCAAAGGCCTGCCAAGGCCCCTTGGGGGGAAGGGCTTGGTGAATTCTGAAACAGAAGGCCAAGGAGTGGGCAAGGGTCAGGCTAAGGGCTGTGGATGTCATCTGGATGGCTGCTGGGAGCCATGGACGACTTCACAGGAGGGGTGACATGGTCAGATTTGCACTGAAGCTCTGCTGTTTAACCTAAGCACCTGCAACGTGTCACCGGGGGAGACATACTCCATGCTTGCCTCAGAGACTTGACTGGGTTGTCCTCATCCTCAGGGCTCAGATTAAACTCCAACTCCTCAGAGAAGGGCTTCCAGCCCCTAGGGTCTCTCTCCTTTGCGAACCTCCAGCCCTGGCAGCCTGTCCCCCGGCTGGCACCCGGCAGCGGTCCACAGATGGCTCCTGGCTGTCCCACGGCATCGCATTGGGGCACAGAACGGAAAGTGACTCACCCTGGCACCTCTCCTGCTTGTAAAATGCTGGTTGCATATCCATCATCTTTGGTTTTTCTGCTAGAATTACCCGATGAGGTTCACTGATGGGGAAACAGGCTCAGGGAGGTAAAGACCTTCGCCAGGGTAAGGGCTGGGCTCTGCCACATTGAGGGAGGACTCTGGGCATTGGATGTCTTTGCATCTGGAACTCTTCCTCTCACCCACGGCTGGGTGAGAGGCATGTGTGTGAAGGCAAGTCCCCTCATCTCTCTGGGACAATTTCTTCTTGGGGATAATGAAGAAGTTGGCAGGGATGGGTCTGGATTTTCTCACCCTACCCATCAAATTCACCCTTTGAATTTCAAAGATTCCAGTCCATTGTCTTCTCTTTGCATCCGTCTTTGGCTGGGAAAATAGTAACCACCACCCTCCCTGCCGCTCCTGCTATTACAGCCTCATGCTGTACTCCTCTGGACCCAGCACAAGTAATTAAGTATTTGTGCAATTAAATGTCCCGCGTCTGTCTCCCTGCCTGGATTGTGCGCCGGCAAAGACGGGGACCATGTCTGTCTTCATCCGTCCTCCAAGAGATTAGCACTGGGCCCAGCACATAGTAGGCGCTCATGAAACTGAGTCGCTGTTATTGTTATGAAACAATGCTGGGAGAGACAGCTCCTGGAGTGAAGGGAGCCCCAGCCGGGCCAGCAGGCAGCCAGTGCCCTCAGCCTCTCCCTCCTCGCGGGCCGCATAGCCTCCGCATTTCCCTCCGGGAGAGAAAGCCTAGTCGCCCCGGTCCCCCGGCCGCGCCCCTCCAGGGGGAACTACAGCTCCCAGAAGGCCGCGAGGGGCGGTGCCTTCGGGGATCGCTCCGCCCGGGCCTGCCGCGGAGCGCAGCATCATGGGAGTTGTAGTCCAGGCCCTCGGCCAGGGGCGCGCCACCGCGGACGCGGACGTGCGCGTAGCAGCGGGTGCGCTGTTGGCGAGGAGCGCAGGTCCCCCTCCTGTGTGGGGTCCTGGTGCGTGGAGGGCCCTTTGGATTAAACCTCACGACCCCAGGGACCCTGGGACGGCTCCGTCGCGTTCTCCAGGGCCCTTTAAGGGGCGGGGCCGGGCGCCAGCCCCAGCCTTGACTCACCCACTCTCCACTTAGTCCCGTCAGCCCCCGGCGGCGTCGGATCCCCCGCCCCACCACCTTCTCCCCTCCACCTCCCCCCGCTCCCGGCCCTGCTTTAAAACCCGTGATCTTGCGGACACCTTTCCGTTCTCCGTTGGCCAAGCACTTACTGTCAGCTGTGTGTCTGGCCCTGTGGGTACACAGTGCTAACGGTCAGGGTGGGTGTCTCTAACAGAGTCGGGGCGGGGGGCGGCACAGGGGTCCATACCTGGGCAAGGCTGTCAGAGGAGCTGGGCAGATCAGGAGCAGGAAGGAGTTCCAGACAGAGGGAACAGCATGGGGGAAGGCCCTGGGGTCGGAGGGGACTTGGGGCTTTTGGAGAAGCACGAGAGGGGGGTCTGGAAGGCAGAGAACAGTGGGGAAGGGGCCAGTGTGAGAGGTGGTGAGGCACGTGTGGGTATCTAAAGGAGCTGGAACTGTGGAGAGGAGTGTCTGTTTGATCTCGAATGTGTGACTTTCTTGGGCAGGATGGCTACCGCAAGCTTGACTGGGGCTCAGTGGCAGGGCCTGGACTCGGCCCCCCACCCCCTCCTATTTCTGGATACTGGCTTGTCCCTAGGGGCAGGGGGCATCCCAGGGCAGGGTTGCAGCAAGAGTAGGCCCCATGCTGTCCTGCGCTGTCCCAGGAGCCAGGCAGGGAGATGGGGAATGAGGGAAGGTTTGGCATCCTTGTTACTTAGAGGGGAAACTGAGGCTCTTGGCAAATTTCTGTCGAGTGAGCCTCCGTGTGGGATCCAAGAAAAGCCTTTTCTTCCTCAGTCTCTTCAGCTCTCAGGAGCCAGCCGTGGGAAATCAGGACGGGTCATTTCCAACCCCCACCCCCGCCCCCACCCCCCGCAATCCCAGATGTGGCAGAAGCAGGAGGTCCTCAGGCCCCATGAGTTGCCTGGGGTAGGGGCAGCCCTGTTGGCAGCTCTGTTATTGAAATCGAGCTCTAACTGGGTTGCTGGCCTTGTTTTCACTGCTCTGGTACCGCAGCCAAGAGACTCCAGGGGACATGCTCTCAGGCTCTGGTCACATCTAAGAGAAAAGCAGGAAGCCCAGGTCTCAAGGCTGACAGCACCTGGGCTTTGCTTCCACGGTAACCTTGGCAAATTGTTCTTGGCCAACTCATCTGTCCTCCCTGCCAGTAACCCCAGCTTCCTACCTGGTGTGCTGGGCCCTTCAGCTTCGGGGGAGTGTTCTGGACACTTAAGGAAGCTCAGCAGGAATGAAGGCTCCATGCCCCATCAGAAGTGGTGGGTGTCTGTGCTCTGGGTAAGGATGGCACCCTCTCGGTGTGGCCCCACTCCTTAGATCAGAGGCCTGGCTGGCTGTGGTTAGTCTTTGATTAATAAAGAAAGGGGAAGCAAATCAATTACCCCTTCACAAATGCAATTCAGAAGGCAGGGGAAAATCTCTCTAGAGGCTTGGGGGCCTCTTCTTCCATGAAGAGATTGGAACACACAGAAAGTGTTGGCAGGAGGACCCCCCGCCCCCTGCCCCAGTCCTGGTGGGGACTGTACATTTGTGTTTGAACAGGGGGAAGGACTGGAATATCTTAGTTAAAAACTTAGGGTATGTGGGGCCACGAGGAGGGGCAGGGAAGGACAAGGGTGGCACTTGTCCCTCACCTCCGGGGTCCCTTCCCCAGTGGGACTCTTGGGCTTCTGAGGAATGGGAATTATCTGCACCTGAATCCTCACCCCTTTGGTGGGATTTCTGGGCTGATCTTCTGGAAACCAAATGGTGTTCCCAGGTGCCTGTAGGTCTGGCTGTGTTGGAATCTCCGGGAGCGTGGTTACTGCAGATTCCCCGGGCCCGAGACCCTGCTGCAGAGGGTCTGAGGAGGGGCCCAGGAAGATGGGATTTTCAGCAGCTCCAGGCAGAGGTGCCAGGCATCCGAGTGTGGGGACCATTGCTCTAGAGTGGAAGGAAGCAGCAAAGTGTTGGGGACACAGCTCTGCGAACACCCAGACCTGGGGTCCAGTCCCAGCTCAGTCTTAGTGTTCGGCACTGTGCGGGTGATGCTCCTTCTCTGATCCTCGGGTCCTTGTCTGTAAGATAGAGATGACATCAGCCGTGTCCCAGCGTTGCATGGGGCCTGCATCGTGCCCAATCCGGGGCAGTTCTTGCTGTCACTGTCCTGCCCTTGTTCTTGGGAGGGAGGAAGAAGAGAGAGCTGCTTTGGAATGTTTGTGTGGCCTCTGACTCCAGTTGTTACTGCCCCGAGCACGCACTGTGGGCTGTGTGTGACGTCCTTCCCTCGTGCGTCCACCGAAACCCTCCTCCAGAATCAGGGCCAAGTCAGGCCTTCTCTCTCTGGATCTGGGGTGCTGCCCGGGGCGGGGGCAGGTATTCCTGGGGGAGGAGGGCTGGGAGGCAAGGCCATGGCATCTCCTCTTCCGGACAGCCCTCCCTGACTACCGCCCCGGGCCGAGGGGCCAGCCTCCTCCGCGGACGCCTTCTGTGGGCCATCTGCTCTGGCTCTGACGGAAGTGTGGCTCCTGGTGATGTGTTTACTTGTTGCTTTCCTCTTTGGGGCTGAGTTCTCTGAAGAGGGCCCCCTGTCTACCCTTCACATTCCCCAAAAGGAGCCTGCAGATCTGCCCCCGGGGCGTGAGACTGGGAACATTGTGTGGGGGGGGAGTGAGCTGTTGTTTTTACCTGCCTAGTATCCCGCCCTGCCCGTCAGTTCTCTAGGTCACGTGGTTCCCCCATCCTCTGTTGGGGACGAGCATGTGATCCTGGCCTGGCCATCCTCCTGGCCAGAGGGCTTGGTGGGTGCCATCCTGTGACCCAAGGCCTGCCAGGGCAAGGCAGTCCTGGGAAGATGAGGCTCTCTTTCTGCTGGCAGTCTAGTCTCCTAGGATATAAGGCCAGGATTGCCAGGGTCAACCACATGGACAGTCTGGGCAAAGATGAAGACAGCACAGTAGAGAGCAGGGCCAAGAGAGAGAAAAAGAGATGATATCATTTGAACACCTGGATCCAGCCTTGCCTGAGCCCGCCTATCTGCTTTGGCAGTTTGAGTTGGGTTTCTGTTCCCGAAACTAGCTCTAACTGATGCAGAAAACATGTTTCACCCATTTGTCTGTCCATCTTCCACCCTTCCATCCCATGTTTGCTCAACTCTTGTTCCATACCAGCCCTCCCAGTTGGAAGGAACAGGTGAGAAGGTGACACAAGATTTCATGGCATGGGAAGCCAGGAGCTGCCACAGAGGTGAGAGAATTTCCTGCATTGTGGGGGAGGGGGAATCCCGGCAGGCCTTCCAGAGGAGGTGACTTTTGTGCAGGGCTTTGAGGCACAGGCAGGATTTTACCTGTTAGAGACTAAGAGCAGAAGTAATCAGAAAAAGGCGGGTAGAGAAGACCAGGAACGCTTGAACCCTGCTGCTGGGGGTGGGGAGGGGAAGGGTTGGGCTTTTAGGGACTGTTGGGCCATATGGAATGGTAATACTCAGTACTACCACTGATAATCAGTCACCAACATTTATCCAGCAAGCACTGTGCTAGCACTTGGTGCTTATTTCTCATTGGTTCTCTTCACCTCCCTGTAGGGGAAAAGTGTGCATATTTCCATTTAACAGGTGAGCAAACTGAGGCCCAGAGTGGTGGCAACCTTCTCGAGGCTTCGCAAACACTAAGGGGCCAGCAGGTCTCTCTGACTTCTGTCCCAAGTTCTTAACCACTCAGGCCCATGTGGGTTCTTCTGGGGCTCTGCGTTTTCAGCCGTGTCCTCCTGACCACCTTGGCAGGAGGTGGGGGTGGAGGCCAAAGACGAAGCCCTGGAGAATTCTGGAGTTTCCGGGGTGTGTAGGGGGTGGGGGCTAGCCCTGCAGGCAGTTCCCAGGATGGGGATGGAGACACTGCCTGATGGCTGTGGGACCCTCCGACCTCTCTGCCCTCCCCCAGCCTGCCCTCTCCCATCTCCCGTCTTCACCCTAGCAGCCAGAGTGATGGAAACTTTGAGGGCATTATCGAACAGTCTTCAATGGCTCTCTATTGCCCCTGGGTAAAATCCAGACTCTTCTCCTTTGCTAACAGGCTCTTCCTTCTCTGGCCCTGCCCACCCCCCAGCCTCTCTTCTGGGGGCTCAGACTCACACTGAACCGGGGCCACCCTCCCTTCTGAGTCCCTGGAGGCCCAGGTGCCCCCTTTCAGTGGAGATTGGGGCCCTTTCTGGGCCTGCACTCACTCATCGTGGCACTCTTTGTTGCCCTGCCATCGGTGTGTCTGGCTCTTCCCAGAGAGCCCCCTGAGAGCAGAAATCTGAAACGCAGGTCTTGGCATGCGGGGGCTCACAGTGAGTGCAGGAAAGGCACTGCCCGAGCTTTCCTGGGTTCTGAAGAGAAGCCCTTACCACTTCAAGAACCACCGTGTTTCCTGGGCACTGAGTAGAACAACGAGGAGAGGGAGACACCCCAGCTCACCCCAGAAGTTTGCTTGCGGGCTTAGCTTCTATTAAAGCAGAGGTGACCCCTGATGGTTCTGCTCTTGCCCTCTGCTTGGCTGGTGAACTTGATACCCTTTGATGAGCCCTGTCCCCTTTTTCAGCTCCCCTTCCTGCCAGAGCCCCAGAAAGCGGAGGCTGCGCTGGCCCTGTCCCCCAGCCCTGAAGGCCACTACGGCCAAGGACATCCATCTGGCTCAGTGTGGTATCCGTGTGTCCAGCACAGCGCCTGACCTTGAGTGCTCGATGTGTTTTATTTTGAATGTGGCGGGAACAGTGGGTCCTGAGCTCCCACTTCTGATTTGGAAAGGACAGCCGCTGCAGTGATCTCAGACGAACATAGACAAGACGGATGCCTGGTCCGCCAGGTTCGCCGCAGCATGTCTCATAAGAGTCAAGATGCGGAAACAGTCCAGACGAACCATGAGAGACGATGGACTCTGAAAAACAAACAGGGTTCTGGAGGGGAGGGGGGTGGGAGGATGGGTT